CCTGTGTATAGCCACGGTAACTGCGTAACTTTACAGGATAATGAGGCTCCTTGAGAGAGCTGCGGCGCTGCGGAGAGTAGAGTCGGGCGCTTGCCTGCGCTCCCCCCACCTCGCATTCCACACGCGTGTCCCTCTCCGCTGCGGCCTTTTAAGCGAAACACGGCAATTATTCAAATCCACTGAAATGCCGCGACCAACCTGACCTATATGGTAGACAATTAGCGCGGTAACGTGGCCGAGTATAACGGCGATGTTTGAATTGAGGCAAAACGGCACGTTGCGAGACGAGGGCCGTGGACGACAGAATGAGACCCCGAGGACGGGCGGCGCGGAAATAATTGCTGAAGTTTTAAAGTATTTCTCGACGGCAAAACTGCTACAAGGACCAACAACAATTAACAGATCAGCGGCTGAATTCATTTGATGTCGTGTTGGGGGGAAAAAAAAAAAAAAAAAACATAAGCGCTCACACAGACCGATCTCCTTGGGGCCGAGTGAAACGAAAGTTAGATTTTAGTGCAGAAAGACCCATGCAAGCCGCTCTTTGCCACGGCGTTAAACGTCTACTGTGCTCTGAGGCCCTCATACTTGCACATCTGGGTTAAGGGCAGCTGGGAATTAGCCCCCCCTGCTGGTGCACCAGAGTGCTTGCAATACTCCAGGAGAAAGGATGCCCACAGCTGGTGAGGGAGAAGAGTCTGTACTGGGGAGGCTGCTGCAGTCCCATGGCCCCTCTGCCCTCCACCCCTGTGTCCAGATGATGAGAGGAGAAGGTGTGTGATGAGGAATGAGTAAGAAGGGAGTGTGGGCGGAGAGATGGCGAGTGCCGGCGGCCGCAGCCTGACTGAAGAGAGCTGGCAGGGCTGGGAAGCCCCCCCCCGTACTCCTCTCGGTATGGAGAGAGCCCTGGCTGATCACCGACACAGGTGGGGCACACTCACGCCACTTACCAGCAGGGGGCCGACCACCCCCCTGAGCTCTTGTGGCTCCAAACGGCGCAGGGAGTCCGCAGGGAGAAATTTACATTTTTAACACGTTCTTCCTGACGGTGACAGATTAACGGCCATGGCACAGCCTGGTATAATGGCAGAAAGCCCCAGGCCCTCGTATGTATGCAACGTACACTAAGCCACGCAGGGAGAGGTGGGGGCAAAAAGGTGGCCACTTTTGCTGGGGAGTCGACCACTATTCTCATCCCCCCAAAAGAAATAGGCAGCCACCCCCTCCCCCAGCTGACATTCGGCATATTCGGACTGATCTCCCACCTTTCAAACCACCAGGTGCAGCTTCCTCACCACAACACGGAGTCGAACAAGACTTTCCTACCCACTGAACGACCGCAAGAACAACGGCAGTCGATCTGAGAGGCGACACCTTGCATCAGTGTGATGGGGGGCGGGGGGGGGCGCTCACATGCAATGACATCTTCCTGCGTGATCCAGAATGGGGAAGATGGCGGAGCGCCGTTTACGAGACGCCGCCCTCACGTTGCTGGTGCTCCAGTGTGCGGGACAAGCCGAGGATGAACCTTCAAAGGCCAGGCCTATAAACAATTTATACCACAGCCCCGGGTCGAGGTGGGGGGGGCTCAGACAGCCACTAAAGAATTCATTACGTTAGGTGGAGAAAATTGTAAAGTGCATGGGAGCAAATTGTGTCTGAGACCAAGAAGAGAAAGGAGCCGCGATGAAACCACAACACAGCAAATACGCCCACAAATATAAGAGAAAAACAGGCCTTTGTGGAAATCCCTTAATTGTTTCTGAGTGTTTCTGATGAACGGCCTATTTCAAAACAGCAGGGAAAGGAGAGGATACTACTCACAAGACCGGAAGCCTAATCCCTATTTCTGTCAGCCGGAAAATTTCGATTGGATATCCAAAAATAATTTGATAAACAGTGGAAATTAAAGCTGAATATTTTTTAATTAGTTATTTTGTCACTGCAGGACTTCTGTTGAGTATTTGCTGTTGACCGGTCACTTTCTGTTTTATGCTATGGGACTTGGCCGCTGGACCCTCAGTGAAGCCCATACCCGTCTCCAGGATGCGCCGGTGCAGCGTCCCCGTCGGCAGGAAGGCCTCGTCCTTGCAGGATCGGATCTGCGTGCCCACCAGCTCCGAGTTTGTGGCCAGGATACGAGCGCTCTCCTCGCTCAGGTTCACCCCGGCCATGGACGCCACGTCGTTGATGTCATCGTCGTCCCTGGAAGACACGGCGAGCATGTTTAACTGGGTTCTGGAACCATCTGCGCTGACGTCCTGCAGGTGCAGACCTCTCCGCGGGATGCGCTCAACGTCTGAATCCCTCTTAGCTCCAACTTCCCCTATGGAGGAGCCGCTGGGAAGGAAGAAGAACAGGAATCTTCCAGCCATGATGCAGGGACCATCCATCCAACAGTGTATGAGCACAGGAGTGGGTCCAGACACTGGCAACTAGCTTTACAGAGACTTATGCTAGTGTTACACCACATATTGAAACTGGTAAATTACAGGAATAAAACTGAAGGCATGCCCATTTAATCAGGCAGCTGCACTGCCACCCACACTGGGCCTCTGAGGTCAAAGTTCATCCCCCGTCTCCATATGAGACAGCAGCCATCCGGGCCTTCGGCCCCCGGCAGCCAGGCCCCTGCTGCCCCTTTCTCTG